GATTTTCCTTTGCTCAGGGGAGAGTTAGCAAATGGAATAAGACACAGAAAGGACTGATAAGAACAGTCAGCAGAAATTGCTTCAAAAGAGACGAAGGAAAGAATTTAGAAGAAAAAATGTGAAGTATAACTGCTGGCTACAAATACAGATGGGATACCTTCTTTCTTAAGCTTTTGTGTTCTCTGTACAACACTAAAAACACTAAATAGATTCCTCTAGCTCACACATATATATATTAAATCAAATTGGAAGTACATTCTAGGGAAAAATTAGTTTTCTGGTATAATAGCTAACAGACTGAAATTTATTTGTTCACTTAAATACTTGTATTGTCTTCAGTAGGGATTATCACATGCATATCCAGCTGCTATTAGATCATTTTATTCCAGACTATATGTATTCTGGAGTCCCTAGTGACAATTACAAAATTGAACCACAGGCTATTGTTGAACTGTATGTATCTCCCATGTCTTTAAAAAGCTTAGGCTGGCATGACCATAATTATTAAAAAAAACTTTACATTACCACCACAGGCTTAAAATGTATTCAAATTTAATCTCTTCAAGATCAAGTTAGTCACGACCATGTTTCTAATTGAGTATTTTGATTTCTTTTCTCAAAGAACAATGGGCTAAATTCACTGTGGATACAAATGAAGATGTCTGATGTAAGCTAATGATGGCTTGAAAAAGGAATAAGTTCTTGTGTGATTTTTGCATTTTGTTTGAGAAAAAATAATTACTTTGTAATCACACAGAAATAATGGATAAAATATATTTTTTTAAAAAAGAAGAAAAATAAAAGCTTTCTATTTACCTAAAAATTACCTACTACCTTGAATAATAACGCTGCCACTAACACATTAAATGCACTAAACTGAGTATTCTGTAACTCTGACAGGTCTGATTTCTACTTGAAGAAAAACCCCACACACATTTTAGTAAAGATAATGTCTTCTACTTTTCAGTAATAAGAAGCTGTGATGCACAACTAAAGCTACAATGAACAAGGACAAAAATGTTTGATTTCTTTCTTGAAAGAGGCTGGGACATCCAGGTATATGGATCCTGGCACTCCAGGTGACACTACATAGGGAATGTGATATCAGTAGGAGACAAAGCACTGGCTCTCTGTGTTGTCATGTTGAAAATGGCAGGGAGTCTTTGTCCCAAATTTTATTGCCTGAAAAACAGAAACTGAACCTGCCAAATCGGGAAAGCAAGCAGCCTGGATTTCAGGGGTTAAATGCAGAGATGGCTGGGTGTCCTGGAGTGTCTCAGTCTGTGTCTTTTTCATTGTTTCTTATTCACTACAAAACATATCCAGCATTTGAAAATTTGACATCTGCCAAGGATAGGTGTTAAATGACTCGATCAAATACACAATAGTAGTGAAAAAATACAGTTCCTGAAGCATGAGACAGTGCATGTAGGATACCGTTAAGTTTTAATGATTCACATCATCTGCTCACATCGACTTTGGCTGAGCATTTCATGGAAAAAGAAAAGCTGGAAAGAAGAAAAGGAACACAGAAGAGACATGGAAGATCTACTTCAAGGTCCCAGTTTGCCTTTGTAATCTGGGCAAATCATTAGGTCTAGGTTCTTAAGGAACTGAGGTGAGCCAGCTTCCTGCAGGCAGTTTGCTTCATATAGGTTCTCCCCTCCAGAATATGGTCAGCAGTTACTACAGCAGTCTCACCTATAAATTAAGCAGAGCAGGACTTTAAATCTAGCTTTTCCATCCTATAAATAATTGAACCTAAATTTTTGATTCATCAGAATGTGCATAAACCTATATATGCTCTGCTAAGCCTGTATCTACTGAAAGTTGGCAAGCACCTTAGAGGTGCTCTCCATGCACACAAAAGACAGGGCCCAGCTAAGGAGACAGACTAATTTTGGGCAGGTTTTGGCTTCAGTCTTAATTCCAGCCCAATGACAAGGGGATGATTTAAGTGGTTTTGGAGTTCTGTTAATGTCACTTCACAAAAAAAGACCAGAAGCAGCTCAGCGATATATCTGAGCACATCTACAACAGTTAGGCACCCATAGGGCAAAGCTGCGTGTATTTGCACTGTTCCCAATACAATGGCTCACAGATACTAGAGAGGCTTTGAATATGAATGTTCAATGAATTTGGAGAAGCTACTCAGTTTCAACAGCAATTCACATTTCTTAGAATCTAGTTTGCTTCTGCGTGGCACAAACACAATAAGAGAGTCTTACCATGTAGTCTAACATCACAGAACCTTTTATAAAGAGACATAGGACAACATGCTTGGAAACCTCTGTAGTGTCTTTAGGAGCCATTCCCAGAGCTGCTGGAGCTCTGTGAAAGCTTGCATCAGAGTCCCAGTGACAGAACAGGAGCTGAGTAAGTCACTGAGGTCATTTAAAGGCAGGAGTTAAGTTTGAATGTAGGAATTTATCTCGCAAGGGGTAAAATAAGAGATTTCTTCTAACTCAGCAATATTACTCAATAATTTACCATTTGCACTTTGGCCTACACAAATATTATATTTTTGATACAGGTCACAAAACGCGATTTCATTGGAGATACTGGAACTCATACTATAGTTTTATGGTTTTTAATTTCTTAATGGGACCAGGGCAGAGATTACAAGTTTTAATGTATTAAAGGTTTACATAACTAAGAGGCATAAGTTTTTCCTGCCTCACAATCTGATTTTCCATTCCATCACCCTCCTACATTGATCACTATGCTCTGCAAGTTTCTCTGGTATAGGTTAAAAAATTAAATCTTTGCAATAAGCATTTCCAAAACTCCAGTAATCAAGTGTCCTCTTGTTAACAGACAAATGCCTTACAGAACTGGGTTCAAAACAGACAGAAATGGTTTCTAATAATATTAAATAAAGTAAGAAAAGCAAACACCAAGAAAATTTCAAGAGTTCAGAGCATCAATCCCAAAAGCTGGAAGAAAAGCAATGCAGCACTCCATCTCTAACATAAGGAATCGTTTAGTATGACACTTGAATGGTTGTGACAATACAAATTTGCTAATGTGGTATTAGTTGAACCAATTTAGAGCGCAAATTAGAATAAAAGGGTGTCTTGCATGTCAAATTGCTATGGACATCCAAGGCAAGGCAGAGAAACAGCTGTGAAAAAATGCTCTTTTAGCAGCAGAAAAGGCAAGGTTACAGAGGGTACAAAGAAATCCCATTGAATACAAGGCTGGACAATGCTCTGTCACACAAGGAGGAAGATGTATTTCCAAACATAGCATTATTGATTTTCAAATTCTACCTTCTCCAATGGCCTCATTAAATCTTTGGGGGGGAGAGGTGCTTGTTTGTTTGTTTGGGGGGGGGGTAATTTTTTTTTTTGTTGGGCTTTTTTTGTTTGTTTGTTTGTTTTTTCCCAGTAAGATTACCATAAACATACTGTGGAAATGTTTAAATGGAGACACAAACTGCAGCTCTCTGGGACACACAACATATAACCTGGGAGCTAGAAACAGTCCTTAGCCGAGCTAACCCACTGCAGACTGGAAGGCTGGAAGCATCTTATATCCAAAGCAATGGGGACTTTTCCTGTCCTGGTGAAGTCTTGCATCTAAAATAGCAAAACATGATGATTTAATATTCCCAAGTAAATTTTCTATTTGTTTTGTTTGTTTCTTTAAAAGTGCTTCCTTCCATTCTGCTCTTCTTTTCCCAGATCCTCGAGTCCCTGCTCATGCTATAACAGAAAAGGTAGCTGAGAGAAACAATTCTCTCAGCAAGGATCAAAAATGGAGGTTTTATTCCCATTCGTTATAAAAATTGGCATGTAAAAGAGAATAGTACAAATCAAAAGGCAGACACAGGAATATGTATTTGAGGAGACACAAGCACCACAGTGAGGAGGATTTAATTTTCGTCTTTTCTCTTTAATCCCTTCCATAGTTTATTGAATGTAATCCAGCAAAGTCAACGAAGAGTTTTATAAGGGACAGTTCCCTTGTCGTCGTAAGAGACTATGTTACAACAGGATTTTAGAAATTTAGGTAGTTTAGCAAGTCCTAAACAGAAAAAAATGCCTGTAGTTAAAGCAGATTGCTTTGCTAGGGCCCAATGTCTGATTCAAAAGTCAGAAAAAGAACTCAAGTGCACGTATGTTTGTATTCATATTCATATTAATTAATTTAAACTGGGTTTTTTTTCAGGTGAAATGACCATAAGCTAAAATGGTAAAGAAAAAGAAGAAATACTGCTTGCCCAAGCAGATACAACGATTAAACCTATTAAGTCCACAGTCTATAAACAAAAATTAGACTCCTTTCCATAAGTTACAGTAAGTTCTTTAACATAGTTAGAGGCAGGTATCAGGAGGTAAGATTACATCAGTGACATTTACTGTTAATTTCAAAGTACGAATGCATGTGATTTTACCTCTGCTCATACTATTGCAATTGCACTATTTATTTAATTAGTATTAAAATATAAGCTAACTATAACAAATTCAGTTCCTTAGTGTTCAGTAAGTTCACTTCAGCCTGCTACCAAGTGTAAGTATGAGCCAGCTTGCCTGCCAAGAATAGCCTGTCTACTTCAGCCAAGAAGTGGGGCAAATAAGCTCTGCTGGTAAGGATAGGCACTTTTCAGTCTCTAACCTGGCTTGCTTATAACAACTTTAAATTTTATTATATCACACTGTTGCTGGCAGTGTTGACATACCCTCATTTTAACGACTCTGTGAACAGCAAGAAGCCATCAGCAAAACACACTGTGGCTCTCAAAAACAGCTCCAGAGCTGTGAGCTGCTCATGAATAGCCCTCTCTGTGAGGGCAGCATGATTTATAATCAGTATAGAGAGTCCCTGTGATTAATATTCATGCTACACATCCCAGAATAAATAGGAGATGCCAGTCTGATTCAAAGCCCTCTGAAACTGATGGAAACCTTTCCATTGACTGCCATGGGCTCTGGGTCAAGCCCCAAGCGTCCAAGTGTGTTTACACCTTTTAAAAAAGAAGGAATTCACTCTCCACATGTTTCAGTCCCTTACATTTATTGTCAGCAAACCTCTGGCAAAAAATGCCTTCCTCTGCAATGAGACTCACTGAAGCTAGTAGGAGCTATATATACAGAGACTGAGGACAAAATTCCAATGTAAAACCAATAGCAAACTGGAAAAAAACTTGATTTTGAAACCACACAAGACAAAATGCAATGATAAAATGAATGTTTCTTTGTAAGTAGTATAAAATAACTCAGATTTGTATACCTGCAGGTTAAAAAAATTTTCAGTGAGGCATACTGGACCTTCATAATATAACATTAAAAAAACCCACTCATATAAATCTAATACCATTATAACCATCTTCCTTGAACACTGTAATTATATCCTCCAAGGGTAAGTATCCAAATATTAATTAAATATGGTCATTTATATTATTTTATGCAAAGATTTTTTTTACTTATTAAAGGAATTTAATAGTACTCATAGATGTCTTTGTTAAATGCAGATTGACAAGGAAGTTAAAGAATAAAGCCTCATTTATTTTTATGCTACTTATAAATTTTCTGAAGTCCAAGTCCTCTCACAATAGTGTACAGTAATTGGATTAAAACTACCTTCAAATACTTTCCACTACAACTTTTACGTGAACCATCTTGCAAAGCCCACAATGTCTACAAATCATTTTGCAGTGATTATCAAAAAAAATACTATAGAATTAAATAAAAGTGGATCGATATGGACCGTCCTCCCCAAGCAATGAAATCTTAGCACCATACAAAATATCATGACTTAAAACTGAGTGCTGACTCTCCTTGTCTCTCTTTCCTTTTAATAACCAAACAAATTATTTTCCAAAGCATGACTGTTAATACACAGATTGGTTTTGAGAGTAGTGTTCAACAGTAATTTTTTTCCTGCATTTTGTTTCAAGAAGAAAAATATAAAGTAAAAAACAAAAAAGAAAAAGGAAAAAGATACAGGAAATAAAAAGTCCTAAAGTAAATTAACAGTGAGTCCCCACGGAGGCAAAAGTGGACATTTCGCGACGGATGGTACTGAAAGGAGAGAGCTCCAGTTCCGTGGTGTACTCATTGTCATTGTCATCACTTGTCACTGTGGAAGACTTCTGGATGCATTCATCACAGCAGCAACAGCAACACTCCATAAAGGCCCGGCTGAAAGGTTTACAGAGGCAGAAGAGGAGAACTGGGGTAACACAGGACTTAAAGAACAAAAGGAACTGGCTAATGAGATGGAGGAGGTCCATAGTTTGTCGAGAGACCCCTGTGGACATGTAGGCAGTCACAATGTTGCAAATGTTTTCGGGAATGATGCAAAACCCATACAAAATGGTCAGAGCCACCACTGTGCAGTTCATCTGACTTTCCAGCTGAATTTGTCGCTTGTTCCCCCTTGTGCAAGCCTTTTCAGCCCTCCTGATTTTCCTCGCTGTCACCAGGGAGCAGGTAATAGTGAACAGGGTAGGCAAACAAAAATAGCAGCCGAAGTACCACCAGAGTCGTGCCCCATCGTAGGTGAGAGCTAACACGTAGATGGTGTCGGGCAGTGCGGTGGATATCTTCACCACGCAGCGTTCACCCGGGGGGCTGCCACTGTACTCGGGGTCCTCCTTGGCCAGCTGGCGCAGAACCACCTCTGGCAGTGCCAGCAGCAGGGCACCTATCCAGATGACAGCCAGCTTGGCCGTTGTCGAGGTGCAGTTTTCGATCATCTCATAATACATCTGCACATTGGTGGCAGCACGAAAACGGTCAATGCAGAGGGCACACAGTGTGAATGTGGTGACTCCAAGAGAGGCCACCTGAGAAGGAGGAAAGGAAACACAATTTAATACAGGTGCTATCTGGGGGAAAAAAAAAAAAGGAAGGAAAAAGGGGGAGAAGAGAAAAGACAGCTACAAGGGTACAGTCTGTTAATCAGTGGAGAGTGGGAAAACATCATATCCTTCAAAAGTCCCCTGTTGCCCTGTTGATGGCAGTCTTCTTAGAGACAGAAGATGAAGGCCTGAACTCATTCAGGCTGAAGAGGGAATTAATATATTGTACATTGGATGAAGGCTCTTACCATTGAGCTTTTCTCTGGAAGAGGTTTATACTCTTCCATAGAGATAGCTCAATTTGTACTCTGGAACACTAGTCAAGTCTAGCCACTTGACCAGTAAAGGCAAAGGCAAACATAGTTCAGGGGTATCAGTGTAGGAGACAGTTAAGCACCACGGTGCTGAGCACCAGCAAAAGAAACATCACAAACAGAACTTAGCTTCCAGTGTTCACTCAGCTATCATCCAGCATGCATTCAGAAAGAGTACATCCTTCTACTTTTCTGCCTAAAAATACTTGTTCCAACTTGGTGTCATCCTCTCCTGGAGACCCAAGCAAGCACCTGTGCAACTCTAAGTGGAAAATAAAATAAGAACTGAGCAAAACTTAAAACTAAACCCTTTCCTTCCCTACTTTTTTCTAAGGGATGTTTTTCATAAAGATTGGTTCTACCACAGGGGTTGGAATCTTAAATCAAAAGGGGAGATAGGAGCATCTTCCTTCATCAGAAGGACGAACTTACCAACACAAGTTATCAACAATGCAGGGGATAATAACATTGAAACCTTGCCCATCTACAAAACTTCCTGGGGATTGGATTAGGCACCTACTGAATTGAGTAGAGTCCAACAACTAATTTTGTGGACTTAGACTTTTAAATGAAATTTTGATGGGAGGTAGGCACATAAATACCTGAAATCCTCAGACTTCCCAAGTCTAACTTTGGAACCTTCACTATAATAGTTGAGCTCTAATAATCTATATTCAACATTTTATTTAGAAAAAAAAAATTACAGGAAAATCCAGGCTCAATTTCGTAGGAAACATCCTGTGGGAGAGTGTACTGCAGGCCAGGAGAAATGGACAAAGTTTCAGTCTTTAAATGATTTAAAGATGGATTGGACAGAGCTCTCAATTATATATACTGTGAGAAAAAAGTACAGAGCAATGCTTATGTTCTCTAGCTTTAATAACCATCATTCTATGTATGAGTAGATATCTTGTACTGTCACGTCATCATTTCCTATAATTTTTTCCTGTTCATAATTCAATTTTCTAAAAACGAAATTTGCAAAATGACTATATACATTTTGACCTAATTCTATTAACAATAAATTCAACTTCAGTTCAAATTCAAAGCAGAATGCCCATTAACTTCAATTGGAGAAAGATTAAGTGCCCTATTGCATTTTAATTCACTTATTTTCTTGGGTTTGCATGCTTGTGTTATGCTGCAAATGTGTTGATGGAGAAGAAAAGAAACTGTTAACTAACATTCTGAATAAACGTAAAGAATGTTTACGAATAAACCATGTGTCTGTGCAATTAACTGGGAAATCTAAGGTAATACTGGGCAGTTCACTATAATTTTATCAAAATTTGATGTGTAATGATAGATTTCAATTTCATACAGGCAGACATAAAAACACTTTCTGATTTCCACCATAATATTGAAATATCACTGTTTATGCATCTCTTGTAAAAAGTTCTGCAAAGATAGATAGCACAATTATGCACATTTATATAAATGTATCATTAATTTTGGCCTTCCATATTTAATGGCCATATCAGATTGCTAAAATTGAATATCACTGGAAAATATTAGGCACTTGGGATTAGAACTGTCAGACATTGGCTTGGTTGGAGAATTCTTTGAAGCAGTTTCCTAAAAGACTGAACAAGTAAGATGCAATCTCTTACTAATTAACTTTCAGGAATATTTAATGATGACAAGGCAGTACTGTAAACATTTTTAATAGGCAAACATACTGATTTAGGAAGTTAAACTGTCTGACAAGATTCAAAGAAAGCTTGGTAAATACAGCAAAAAATAAAAACAATTAAAGAAAAATTACAGTTACAGGGAAATCTTAATGAACAGTGATAAACCTAGCTAATGAAATATGATTTTTCTGCATCACAGCTGAGAGTGACATTTGTAAATTCAAGATTAGTGACTTTGTTTCCAAAACATTCAAATGTGTGAGCAGTATTCAAATTTCTTAGTGACAGCAAAACCTTTAGCCTGAATATGCAAGATGAATAACAAAAGTGTCAGGGCAGCTTGCTACAATTACAGGAGACGGGAAAATAACTGAAATTCAGAAATAAACAGGGATGGAAATAAAAATCAGCAGAACAGAAGAAAGCCTGAGTTTCTGTAAATTAACATTTTCCCTCTCAGCTCTTACATGAGCCTCTCCCCTGCCCCCAACTCACACACTTCTATTGCTTTAGCATTTCATTGCAAACAGACTGTTACACAGCAGCTAAGACATTAAAACTCTACAGTTGTTAGGGCTGGACTAATGAAAGAAGACATGCCTACCGTGAACAAACATAACCTACGGGGTTCCTGTCACATTAATTGACCAGCAACCTGGAGGTTTAAGACAGTGAAATAGAGCAAGAGGAAACAACTAAGAATACTGGAAGATGGCTTTGAAAACTCTCCTATGGATTTACTGATGAAACGAGCTAAACAAAGCCAGTGTTTCTCTGGAACAGGCAATGGTTTCCTATTTTTTATAGATCAGTGGAGTTAGTGATGCAACGGAAAAGCTTGCAAAAACCATACAATCATACAAGCATATGAACACAGATTCACTCCAGCTGACTTGTTTAAATGCACTACAGCAATTTAAGGGTTAGATTACTTACCCACAATGCAGACCGTAAGTAATAGCCAGCAAAATCAATCGGTGCTGCTCAAAACCTACGTGGGTGAGAACTGAACATGCATTCTGCCTGTTCACACAATTTCAGTTTAGGGTTGTTTCTTCATACCAGTCATACTAATAATTAGAGTTAAGCTGAAAGTGTGGAAGAAGTCAGAGAAGTTTCCTTTTTAATATGATACACGGCCTTGAAATAACCACAGAATGAAGATAATTCACTTGACAGGGAGTAGGTAAAGCACAAATTAACAAGTCGTAAAGTGGTACAAAGCTGCATGGAGTTTAATGGTGCTCTTCTTGTTGGAACAGCTGAGCATCTGATGTACTGTTGCAGTCTTAATTCCAACAACATGGCAGGAAATGAGGCAAGGCAAGGGCAACTCAGGCTCAGTAGTTTTTGATCATCACTTAGTTGTCTGATTTATTACCCTATGGTCCCTATGAAGATTCTCCTGCAGTCTCTAGACATTCAGGATGACATCAGTTTACAACTTTCCCTTTTTACATGAAATCAGAGAAGTCCCCAAGTTTCCAACTGAAGGACCACCAATCTGCTTTGAGAAGGTGGTGAAGGAACCCCTGCCTTGAGGAAATACCCACACTGTTTGGGCAGAGAATCACTGTAGAAGGGATTACCAGCTATAGCATACACATACACAGGACGACATTATCGTTACAAGGAGGGTCTCTTGCACTGACAAGGATGTTAGTGGGCACTGTGATGCTCATTCCACACACTGCATAAACCTTCAGTCATTAGCTCACCACGCTGTTAGTCAACTGTGTCCAAACTGATTCGGGCAACTGAGCCCAGAGAAAACCACCAGTAAATACTCATGAAATGCTCAGGTTAATTGTACCATTTCTCCTGCCCATCCCTCCAACATATTCATTCCCCTTTTACAAACTTTAACAATTATTGAAATATTTTCAGGCCTTTCCTGGCTTGTCCTACTTCTACTCCCTGTGGTTCCATGGCTCTTGGCCCTGGCCTCTAGGAGCAGTGTCTCTGGCTGACCAGTGAAGATGTAGTACAGTGAGCAAGGGCTATGGAAATAAGACTCAATTCTCTCTCACTAATTTCTGCTTGATCAGATAAAGGTGATGAAAACCAGAAAGGAAATCAGAAAAGGTGACTTGGGTGAAAAGGTCAACAAAGACCAAATTCTGTAAGTGAATATAAAACAGAGGTTGGGTCATTCCATCCAGTGAGACGAAAACCAAGAAGCGATATTGCTGCTATCTACAGATAAATCTATCTTGAGATACAAAAGTTACTTAAGCCAAAGGACAGTGAATGTAACAAAATGCAAATCAACTGGCCATGAGCAACTCAAGGCTGGAAATGAGAGGGACCATTAATCATGTCAGGCATCATCTTCTCAAGCACACCTGATGGAGAAGTGAGGGGAAACAATGCAGACTAAGCTTATATGGAACAAGATAAATTAGAAGTGTTACAAGAAGTGGCTGCTTCTACCAGCTGAAACTGGATTTTCTAAGATGGAATATACTTGATATGGATAACACAGAGTTTCTTAAACTACAGGGCACTCTTCCTTCCTTTGTTACAAGGCAAGATGTGTATTTGAAACATTTTCCTGTTGTAATGGGAAAGCTGAACTACAGAAAAGGTTGATAACTACTAGCCAGGCCATCTCTGAGCTCTCAGTAACACCCTGTAGACTCTTTATATCCATTCCTATTATATCATATAAACGACTAATTTCTCCCTGAAGCCATTATAGTCTATCATTTTATTATGGCTGTTCTATAGCCACATCAAACCTCATAGCTTTAGAGCATGTTAATGCAACATACCATGGGGGCTCCTCCAAATTTGTCAGTTTTGCCTAAGATAAATAAACAAAGCTAGTACAGATCACAATACATTTTTTTTTTTTGTGCAACTCTACACTTACAGTAGAGAGCCCAGTAATAAGACTGGACTATTGCAAAATAAGATCATTTTACTGCAAATGATTATTTAACATTTATCTAAATTTCTGGTTTCTGTTCTTCTAATAAAAAAGTCCCACCCTCTCACAAAAAACCCAAACCAAAACAACCAAAAAAAATAAAAA